TTAAGTCGGGTCCCTCTGTGTCATTACTTTGGTCGTATGGGCCTACCCAGGCCTTTAGGGTCCTGAGTTGTTTTTTCTGATGACTGTATCTCTGACCTTTAAGGGCTGGGGAGTTATCTTTTTGTTTGATCTTTTGTGCCCAGCTCCTTTTTTGCCTGAGGTCCTCTCTGCTCAGTATTCTGAGGATTTGAGGAAGGTGCTGCTTTTAAAATCCCCTGCTTTATCATGTCAGCAATGCATTGTGGTGTTGCTTTAATATCAGAAATTTCTTCCTTTAAAACATGCAGCTTCTTGAAGATGCTTTGGTTGGATTTGGCTAAGAGGAAGCACTGATCGCGTAGTTGTGTGTAAATAATCCTAGTTTGTTCACTCTCAAGGCCTTGAGCATCTTGGGGGCCTATTTTTCCCTCCATATGGTTCTCTTTGGGTCCAGGTGTTGATAGGTTTGGGTGTTTATAGAGTGATTGCATAGAGAGAGAGAGAGCCTTCTCTAGGAGTTCTGGGTCCAGTGACCAATTGTCGATTACTTCTCCAGACTGCAGGGTTTCCACTGCAACTTCCTGGTATGTCTCTCTGTTATTTATGCCAGTGAGTGGGGTACTTGGTATGAATTCCCTCAGTGGCCTTTGATTATGAGAGGAAACATATTCATGTTGGCTGATGGGATCTGAGGCCACACAGAAATCTGCTATTGATTTCTGGTTTGGCTTTTTGGGAGCTTTTTAAAAAATCTTTCCACAGGTTTTTTTGGTCCTAGTAGTGACCATGGTTGTACTCTCTAGATGTAGCTCTTCTAGTATCCTCTTCTACTTCTCAGGTATAAACTTCCACTCAAAGGGAGGAGAATATGGGCTGCACAGTTACAGTCTAGAGCAGCTGTATAGAAAACCTCTTAGCCCCAGTAAATACTTAAAACATAAACCATTGAAGGACAGATTATTCCACCCTGTTCCTTGCAGGACTTTAACTCACTGTGAGCCAATTGTAAATTGACGATGATGACAGATCAAGGCCCCTGTTAAGTGCCGAACAACCGCCCAAAGGCAGATGGTTTCTCTTAGACAAAGTAAATGCTTTTCTTGCAGAGTAGATTCAAGTAGGTGCTTGCTATCTGCAGCACTGGTGTTATTTGTCTTCTGTTGTCTTCTGTTTTTCTTCCCAAGGCTTCAGTCTTGTAATTGTGTAATACAGAGGTGACAAGTATTTCTAATGTCTCTCGACAGCTCCAGCGGTCATTATCTCTGTATTTCCTTTTGCCAAGGTTAAAATCATGCCTCCAGCCGGAAAATAAAATAGGCACTTCAACTAAAAAAAAAAAGCAATAAAACCATATAAAATTATATAAAATAAAGATAAAATCACTGCTGCTTAATCACGAGCGTGCTGCCTGGCTGAGGCGGAACGGGAAGTCCATTCTGGTTTGGGACCTTGTTCATGGCAGAACACCTACTTCCAACAGGAACTGCCACCCTACCTGCTCTTCTCAGGCCAGATAGCTGAGGGTGCTAACTCTCCAGAAGGAGAGAACATGGAACCAGGCCTTCTCGGTGGTTGCGCTCTGCTTTTGGAATGAATTACCAGCTGAAATTCACCTGGCCCCCTCTTTGATGTATTTTAAGAAGCTTTTGAAAACACATCTATTCCATCAGGCTTTTCAAAACCTGTCCATTTAAGAACTTGTTAACTATAAGCCTTCTATTCAATTGCCACCAGTTTTAACTTGGTTTTAAATACTTGTTCTTGGGTTTAACTTAGTTAACTTAATGTATTTTGATTATGTTGTTTTCATGTTATTGTTACTGCCTGTCAACTGCCCATAGTGACCATTGGTCAGATAAGCAGTATTAAAAAAATCAAATCAATAAATATTTAGGCCTTTCCTCATTTCTCCAGAGTAGACATAGGGACACACTCAACATCTGGGTTTCAAAACAATCTGGTTGCTGGGTAATTACCTCCATTACAAGGATTGCTATTACTGGTGAGTAATCTTTTCAAAGAACCTTGTAATGAGAGTGAAAGAGGAGAGTGCAAAAAACGGTCTGAAACTCAACATCAAAAAAACTAAGATCATGGCCACTGGTCCCATCACCTCCTGGGAAATAGAAGGGGAAGACATGGAGGTAGTGACAGATTTTATTTTCCTGGGCTCCACGATCACTGCAGATGGAGACAGCAGCCACGAAATTAAAAGACGCCTGCTTCTTGGGAGGAAAGCGATGACAAACCTTGACAGCATTCTAAAAAGCAGAGACGTCACCTTGCCAACAAAAGTCCGAATAGTCAAAGCTATGGTTTTTCCTGTTGTGATGTATGGAAGTGAGAGCTGGACCATAAAGAAAGCAGACCGCCGAAGAATTGATGCCTTTGAATTGTGGTGCTGGAGGACGCTCTTGAGAATCCCCTGGAGTGCAAGGAGAACAAATCTATCAGTTCTAAAGGAAATCAACCCTGAGTGCTCACTGGAAGGACAGATCCTGCAGCTGAGGCTCCAGTACTTTGGCCATCTCATGAGAAGAAAAGAGTCCTTAGAAAAGACCTTGATGTTAGGAAGGTGTGACGGCAAGAGGAGAAGGGGACAACCGAGGATGAGATGGCTGGACAGTGTCTGCGAAGCAACCAACATGAATTTGACACAACTTCGGGAGGCAGTGGAAGATAGGAGGGCCTGGCGTACTCTGGTCCATGGGGTCACGAAGAGTCGGGCACGACTAAACGACTAAACACACACACAATCTTTTCAGATTAGGAGTCTTTCTGTAGGCAAACTGAGACCTTCCCACCCAGAGAGAGATTTAAATGATTTTGTCTGGAAACTGTAGGCTACAAGTGATACTCTGTTGTCAACTGTTGTGGTTTTGTGTTGTAGAACAGTGGTCCCCAACCTTGGGCCTCCAGATGTTCTTGGACTTCAACTCCCAGAAATCCTGGCCAGCAGAGGTGGTGGTGAGGGCTTCTGTGAGTTGTATTCCAAGAACAGCTGGAGGCCCAAGGTTGGGGACCACTGTTGTAGAAGAGTGTTCCTGATACTAATTAAGCCCCATTGATTTAATTTTTTTTATTTCATTGGGTTGGTACTGAGGTCTGAAAAAGGTCTTACAGTACTTAAATCTTCAAGTTGATCTCCATTGTCCAGGTCCAGGCAGATTTAGTTTGTTCACAGGACTTGGCCGTTGGCTTCCAATATAAGGTCCTGCTTGTCTGTCTATTGTGAAATTACACAAGTGAAGTGGTGTCTAGAAAGTAGACCTGTTGTGTGGACTAGTCTAGGCTGATGGTTGGGTGCATGTTTTGGAATTCATGTTTACTTCTTCTTTTCAGTTAAGAATTCTAACTATCTGCCTCCACTATGCACCAAGGCAAAATTCTGTTTATTAAGGGCACAGACCTTGCTACGCATTAGTCAGCAAAAGATGGAGTGAACAGTGATAGTGTAATCCTGTTAGTATAGAGCAGTGGTTGCCAACCTTGGGTCCCTAGGCATTCTTGGACTAAAACTCCCAGAAGCCTTCACCACTAGCTGTGCTGGCCAGGATTTCTGGGAGTTGTTGTTCAAGAACATCTGGGGACCCACAGTTGGGAAGCACTGGTTTAGTAGTACGGGTTTTTAGTTTCTGTTGTTGTCAGGCCAGTTTATAAGTAAGTTTTCATTAAAAACAGCTACAGTAACAGTTTTTTCTCCTTACCTATGTTATTAATGTAGTTACAGAGCTGACACTAATCTGGAAAGCAAAAGAATTTCAAAATGCATTTAGCCGCCTAGAGTGGACGAGTCGCCCAGATAGGCGGGGTATAAAGCAAACAAACAAACAAACAAACAAACAAAGCAGTTTTTCAGTCTTCCTAAATCCTTGCTCCATTCTGATTATCTTAAAAAGACCCATGCACCCTTCAGACCAATAATTCTGTTTGAGATTTGAAATATCACAACTAAAATCAAATAAAAACATTTGCAAAGTATAAAAAATACTTCACTCTTTTTAATTTAAGTGCCTATCTCAGAAATAAAGATACAGGAAAGCCAGTAGATGTATTACTGTGCAATCACAAAATGATACAATAAGTTGTGTATTAAGAAAACAACTGGTATATTTTCCTTATTACCCTAATTTAAAAAACCTGCGGAATAGTGAACTCTTTTCAGACTGCACAACCCCTCCCATAAAATCCTAATTCATTTCTGAAGAGATTAACCCCATTGATTTAAAATCACAGAGTTAAAATCAGACATAGTAGTTTACAAGCTCTTTTTAAAAAGCTTGTTTCTCTTTGAATGTCTATATACATAGAGAAAAAGAGAACACATGACGAAATGCAGCGACTTGGCAGGGCACTGTCAGCTTCGCCATTCCTGAAAGAGCGAAGGCACCGAGGGGAAGGCTCCGCGACAGAGTCCTTTTCTTGACAGACTGACTGCCTGCCTTGACAGCGGGGGGACCTCCGGCTCTCGCGGCGGCAGCGAG